TACAAAAGGTAATATGGAAGAGAAGGGTAACTTTGTAGTTATAGGAATAAAATTTATATGGCAAGATGATGACGTCGTAACAGACGGTTATGTTAGGCTGTGGGCCACAAAGGCCCGAAGCTGGACCCAGTCTTATGAGGAACTAAACTTATCAAATGTGGGAGTGAATGAACGTAGAACTGAAATGTAAAAGATTTTTGCCATTGTCACATGTCTTTGTCAGTTTCGAATTAAACAGAATTGGTGATAAAGGCCACTCTTCCGTTCATCTCATTAGATAATCGTTTCGTTGAACAGATCATCACGCATTGTTCCTTGTTTGGTCAAAATTATGTTTTTACATAAATCGATGTTGCATTACTATGTTAACTACGTCACCACTAGTTCTTATTCTGAACCACACTCTTTGCGTTATATTTAAGATAATTTTTAATATTATCCTTCCAGCTACCAATCGCGTTATGAATTGGTATCTTTTCTGCAGATTTTGTAAATTTTCTAAGCGTATTCGTGACTGGTGCATGTTCCACAGTCTCGTAATCTTTTATTATATTTATCTGATAATATTTGATGAAGAGAAGAAATGATGATTATCGTTATGTAATCTCTATTATTTTTGTCTCATCTTAGGGTCTTCTTACTCAATATTTTGTTCCAAAAATGTGTTATAAATTCTATTTCACACATGTACAAAACTATATATTTTCGTCTGTTTGTAGTTCATTTCTTTAATCTTCATATTTTTAGATCAAAAATTGCTTATCCCGGTTCTACCTAGATTTGCTTTAAGTAAAACCGGATGTCATAAAGTTTAGCCTTTCTTGGTGTTCCTCTCTTCCTCAAGGCACTGGATGGGATATTAAAGTTCACAACTAAAAACGGCCGTGTAGTCTGTTAGAAGACAGCCATCTTTAGACTCACCGCCTTGAAAATTTCAAATCCTACAAAGTTCACAAGACCCTTTCCTCTCGTCATGTCCTTTAGGGCATGTTCAATTTAGAGGCAGAACGTCTTAAATCCTGCCAGGTCATAAGTTGTGCGAATTTTAATGAAGAAAGTATATTCTGAGTTGCTATCCCTAAATCGAGTTCCGTCAGAGCCCTCTCTGCTTTCAATTCAGCATTCTCACACATCATTGGGAAAAACTTAATCTCTCTGGAATCTCATTGTCTAACGACGCTGATTCATCTGCAGTTTAGATCAGCGGTTATTAACCGGTGAGTAACTCAGGTTGTCTTCTGAGGAGGCAGGGAGGCACACGCGGTGCTGACTGGTTTCGTCTTTTTTCCAACCCCCCCCCCCCCCCCCAAATGCCAGCTGAGGCGGCGTGCGCATAAGTTCTTTTGACCAAAAAGGGTCCCAAGAAATGGGTTCGCCTCAAAAGAAAGGTTGAGACACTAGTCGAGGTGATACAACGTCGTTATAAGCGGCCCCTGTACCACTACCAAATACCTTAAGCACTCTCTACGTCAGACGACTGTATTCCTGAGTAATTTTTTGTTTGTATTAATATAGTCAAATGCGGTTTTGTCAATCGCTAAATTGAAGTAACTTTTCTTACGTATCCACGGTTATGTTTTGCGCACAATTTCGTATTAACTTTAAATGTTAAAATCGGTCGCGCTTGACAAAATCCCAAATTATCTATTGCCAGTCGCGGTATTTTTCCGGGCCGTGGTAGTGAAGATTGGCGAGGAATTGCTGTACTTGGTTTTACTACCGACCAGGTCTTCGTATCAGTAATGAAACCGGCTTGAATGTCAGATGTATGACCAACAATATCGGGTTTCCTTGTTTGTGATTTATTTATTATTTAGTGTTCTGTGTGACGACAGGTCCATATGAACAGGATCCTTCCATCCTTTTCTCGGACTGGGACCTGTTCATATACGTTCTTGGCAGATGATCCAGAAGTGGTTTGCCATTGCCTTCTTCTGTGTGTGAATGGAGTAATTGTTGGGATGCCACGGAGAAAATCTCCGTGTTGCCTAGACCACGGCCTCGCCCAACACAAGTTATAAATTCGGGCACCACCGGGAATCGAACCCGAGACCCCAGGATTACAAGGCCAGCGTTCTAACCGCTAAACCACCGTGGTTATAAGCTAATATTATGTAATTTAAAGTAATGCTCCCTCATTCGTGTGAAACGTTTCAGTGAATTAATTTGTCCTGCCCCTGCGTAATGCGGACACGAGACTCTGTTCCCGTGAGGTCTGACTAAAGTGCCTCAACTGTAGCCACCGCGTCTTGGGACCGCGAAGTTCCACGTGGGCTGAAACTTGACACATTTTGGTCTTCGTCGTAACTTCGAAGTGAACGCGTGGGATTCGGTATTTTTACGGCGGCAAAGAACGTCTCTGCTCTGTCCTGTGGGATACGATTCCGTGTTATCGTGCAGGCGACAGACAACGCCCATTTCGAAGCGTTGGTTAGCAACCGTAAGAATACAAGGCGTCGCAACTAAAAAAGAAATCCATCATGCCGTTTATTGAACGCGTGAACGGTAAGCTGTTCTTTTAAGGGCAGGCGTTGCTTGGTTTAAGTACGAGATCTGGCGGATTTGAACAATACGATTGCCTACCAGTTGTTATTTTCGTTTTGCCTGGGAAGTAGTGGTAACACTGCGACGCGTTTTCGTGGCTACTTCGTTTATAAAATGCAACGAAGTACCACAGCGATCTGTGATCAGATTTGTTTCTGGTCAGAAGCTTGCGAAATTACTGAAATGTGTAGACGATGACTTCGTAAACCAGAGCAAAATGAACAAATGAATGGTAGGAATTAAAGGAAGGCGCTTAACTCAGTGGAGTAGAGTTGTTCTTCTGTTTCTAATAGAACGTTCACATAGTGAAGAAATTCATCGTAGGAATCAGAAGGTTTATTACCATGTTCACCAGACCCTGCCACTGGTCCTTACCTTAAGCCAGATGAATGATTGAAAGCGCAAATTGACCTGAGGTCACATTAATGCAACCACTCCATATCATACCTAGGTCTTCCATGACCTCTTCCATTCAGGCTTTCCAGCAAAAAAAATTTGTTCGCATTTGTTATGTTCGCCAAGAGTTCTACATGCGTCGCCCACGTCAGCTTCTTTGATATGATCATATAAATTCTCGGGCAAATGCCAGGGTATGAGTTTTCAAATCCTCTTCCTCTCACCATTCGTAATCAAATCGTAGTTTTGTTTGTTCTACAAAACTTTGTTTAAAGGCGGTAAAAATACAGTATACCCCTGTGTTAGTTTATTAATGGGGACTTAATCTGCGTGACTGAGTGCCCAGATAATGCACCTGGAGCTGGCAGCGTCTGTCTGGAACTCACCTGTACTTCGTAAGTCTGAACAGGGCGGACGTAACGCATGGATGGAAAGTGCTGACTGCAGAGATATCATTCCGGTTGGATCATGGAGTACAGCAAGTTTTAGAAGCAAACGCCACTTACAAATCTCACTAAAGTGCATTTTACGTCACAGAGCAGGTTCCTGTATTGGAGAAAACTCCGGACCGTTTCCGGGAGGTACGTACGTCGAATCGAGGCTAGATTACCTGTCACCGTTCTCATGATTCTCGTATGTTGTGATAGTACATTTAAATACCTCATGACCGTTATATTTCATCGAATTAAACATTCACGATTAAAAAAGTAAAGTTTGTCCCACTATACGCCATGTAGGCGCTTGGGGGGAGTGGAGGTATAGCTCCTCTCTTCCTTGACCTCGGCACTAGATGGGGGTGACTGGTCAGCATCACGCCCCGGCCGGCTTTACCCCCGGGAAATGATCCCGGTACCCATTGTAGAGGAGGCTGGGTGGGCCCCAGAGCCGGTCTGGACGCAGAGGCTAGAGGAAAAATCCTCTGTCCCCGTCGGGGATGGAACCCCGGTCGTCCAGCCCGTAGCTAGTCACTATACTGACTGAGCTATCCCGGCTCATAAACATTCACGATTATTTTCCTATTTTATCTGAATCTGTATTACTGCGCACTCGTAGAGACTTACTTTCGGTAACCAAAGAATTAACGAATTTTTTATTGTTAAATTCGTCTAACATTGATCGAAGTAAATTATTAACGTAATACCAAGTTAATAAAAGAGAGACTCATCCATATTTTCTTTCACATAATACAGCTCGATTTGTAACCGCATATACAGCTCACATGTTTACGTCTTAATTCTTCTGAAACCTCGTCGTGACAGCTCAGACGACGGCCATATTTGTGGACATACTTCATTTTTTTTAAAAGCTGTGCCTTGCTTTTAGCGTTAAGAATGTTAGTCCCATATTTTGTTTTGCATGTATCTAGGATTCGTCTGCATCATTTCGTGTGAAACATTTGGTAACGTGCTGTAGTATTTCGGTCTGTACAAGTGTTCCACTCGAGTAAGAACTAACGATCTAATGTAAAGCGTTTTAATTTTTATTAGGGTCACTAAAATTAAAAAGATATTAACTTCATACTATGTCGGCTCAGTCTCCCTTGACTGATTTATATTTTAGTAAGGTGTTTTATGTGCTATTTTCATAATTCTCTAGTGCCAGGATGAATGGTTTTAAGTCGAGAAATTATAAAGAAGTGTGATGTCTACTGTATAGACTGCATTTCAGATTTCCTGTAATGTAGAACTTCGCTTTAGAATTACCTTTACGTGTAAATTGTATAATCTATTCCTATAATTCTTTGGAAAAACCAACAAACTCGTTTTCTGATTAGTTTCATAAAATCATTTTTCTTTTCTAAAGTTTTAGTGCTTTTATAAGGCTGTAGTGTCTGGACATGTGTTTAAGATTAAGGAGAGATAGGCCTCTGAGAAGAATTTTAAGTTGAAAACCTCTTTGGAAATTTCTGTTTTAGAGACAGAAGAGACAGGAGGGTACCATCTTATATGGCTATTCAGGAAGTAGGTAAAAAGGGCCTGAAGTGTCTCTGGATAGTGCCCAGTCACGCGCATTGACATCAGCGGTGTTAAGTAAACTGAACAGTTAGTGTGCTTTCGCAGGTGCTGAGTCTCATGTTGAAGTGGACAGTGGGACACAAGAAGGCCGCAGGAGTTAAGCGTTCACCATCTGGAGGAACGGGGGCCGGTGGCGGTCCATGCTACAGCATCAGGCGAGCTGCAGCCAAATTCCATCTGTCCAGGAGGAGAAACCGAACGCCTTCCGCTCCTGGGTTGGAACCACAGCAAGGTGACAGCCGAGAACGCAGCAAGAGTTTTGACAAGGAGAATCGGTACGTAGCAGTTCTTGGCCAACTTATCGTCTTTGGACAGTGCAACTGTCAGAAACAAAATTTTGACCGTCTCGATTTTCTGAGACTCATCCAAAATCGATAACTTGTGAGGGAAGGGAATTTTCCGACTTCCTCGTAGGTTTACTTTGTCAGTCATGTTACTATATTTATTATACATAGCGAATATTAAAATAATCGCGAAATTTTTACAAACCGTACACACATTAAAGTGCAAATGTATTTATAATTTTGTTATTTTTAAGATTACTAGCCGGAGTTCAAACGGAAATTCTTATTTTCTTACATTCCCCATTCCTAAATTAATATTATAAGACAGAAGAACTCAACTCAGGATTAAAAGAAATGTCTGAAAGATTCAGCTCTTAAAACGCATACAAAATATTTTATTCAATGGCAAAACACTCGACTGTTATTTCCCTAACGGATCGAATCTTGACAGGAGCGCAGGATATTTTGATTTTTCAACCTTTTAGACAAATACTTATCACGACTTTCTTTAGAACTCACTATTCGTAATTATCAACACATCTCATCTGAAGGCAGACGAAACCCTAGGCATTTAACAAAGTCTTACGAAGCTGCAAATAACTTTGTGCGTTGTGCCATCGAATGCGCTGTTCCAGGGACCGTGAACAGAACAAGAAGTATGAAAGCCTGTCTCCCAGAACACGTGACAGCGTGTACATGCGTCTGGATACAGTTCCGGCGGCCCTTCGGGATCTCAGCAACCACTACCAAACTTCGCCCGTGGGCTCCCCAGCGCCTCCTGTGGTCAAAAGAAGCAGGAGTAGAGCCCGGAAAGTGCGCTCTGCGAGGTCGGTGCCATTGATAAGCGTGTTTTTCGCGTCTATAAACAGACTCCTTTAGAATTTACACAAGCCAGTTTTTATTGAAAGATTTGTGACGGTGGTTGGGAGTCACTGGATGGCGTAATAGTCTTGGGGGCCCTAAGGTCGATTCTATTCATTAAAACTCATAGCACAAGAAGCTGTCTATTATTGCATGAAGAGGTTATGTGAGTTAAGTTCGCTAAATTTGTTAGTAAATGTTAATTTAATTTGTAAGATTTGAGGTTTTCACAGCGGTGAGTATGAAGATTTCTGTCTTCTGGGTTGTTGAGACGTGTAGTCTGGTAGATGTTTACCAACGTTTCGCCCTGATGATGGAGGCAGTATGACCTTTGAAACGTTGGTAAACATCTACCAAACTACACAGCGCAACAACCCAGAATACAGAAATCTTCATACTCATCGCCCTGATGATGGAGGCGGTATGACCTCTGAAACGTTGGTTAACATCGACCAGACTACACGGTGCAGAACCCAGAAGACAGAAATCTTCATACTCATCGCCCTGATGACGGAGGCAGTATGACCTCTGAAACGTTGGTTAACATCGACCAGACTACACAGCGCAACAACCCAGAAGACAGAAATCTTCATACTCATCGCCCTGATGATGGAGGCAGTATGACCTCTGAAACGTTGGTTAACATCGACCAGACTACACAGCGCAACAACCCAGAAGACAGAAATCTTTTTAATTTAATTTCATTTAATTATTATTACAGCTTGTCAAATCTTGTAGTTAGTCTGCTTATCGCTTCCTTTCGATTTTCAGATATGCGTGTGAATGTCTTCAAGAAACTGTAAATGCTACAGAAGTACGGTCTGCGGAAGAGTGCCTTGACTTTCACCTTCGTTCCGTTCCTCCCCAAAACGAAGAAATTTCGCATATTCCAGACACTGGAATCAGCACAACAATTGGTGTCGTGCCTCACAACTCCATACCCGTGGGCCACAAAGGTGGCGACACTGTGGTACTAAAATCTTCCACGGTATCGACTCAGTCGCCTTTACAAATAGAATATTCCCCGTGTCCTGTAAGGACCACTAGAAGTCTCCTGGCACTCAGACGTCGCTTAACCGACGTGTTTGTGCAACCGTATCATAGCGTTGGATCGCTTCAACCGCCTTCTCAAAGCAGTCATGACAACCCACTGTACTTTTATTTACAACAGGCGAAAACGTCGCCTTGTGCCGTGTTTCATAATAAAAAATCAGATTCTGAATTTAGCAAATGTGATTTAACAAAATCTCCAAACGGACAGTGTTCCGATGACGTCCCGTTAAAATTTAGAAAGAAAGATCCTAGTCTGTGTTTTAGTGCAAGAGTGGGTTATACTTACAACACCGAAGACAATTCTTCTGATACTAAGAAACAAAGTACAAAAGGTTTTACATCAGAACAGAGAAATGCTACTCTTCGCGATAGACAATCAAATTCGAAAAAAATGTCACTATCTCCATTATCACGTAATTTGGCTTCATTGAGGCTGAGCAGTGGTTCTAAAGAAGAATGCATCCTACAACAGTTTTCACGTATCACTCCGCCATCTCCGTTTCTGAATTCCACAACCTTCATTTCCAACGTAATTTCAACGAGTCATAATCAACGAGCCCTGGCATCCAACGAATTACGTACAGCACACGACGTAACGGACCCAAGGTTTCTGAGCTTGTACTCGGTGTTAGAATCGGCTGATGTTCCCATAAGCATTCCAAAGAAATCAGCGACAATAAACTCTTCTGCTGACGTGTTACATAATAATAATAATAATAATAACGAGAGCCCACACACTCCAACATCTCAGTGCCCGGTTAATCGAATTCTGTGTTATCCGGAAGAAAGTCCGGTGAAGAGGACAGATGTTTCTCAAGGAACTTTCTGTGAATTAAGGAAAAGATCTTCTCTCAGGCGAACAAGAACTCTGACTTCAAACAGTGAAGAAGGCCCTCCTGTGAAAATGCAACCAGTAGTTTTATCCAACGGCCAATTAATAATGCCTGTGCATAATAATAAATTGACGACAGAGAATTACGCTCGAGGTCAGACTTGTCAGAGCTTGGAATCGCCAAATACAAGACCCTTAAGACGAAGTGCAGAAGTTAGAAAGACGAAGAGAAGTTTGAGGCGTTCCTCGAAGGCCCTGACTGAAAATTATGAACACGTGTCTCCGAAAGGCGTGGAGGGCGAAATATCTTATAGTGAGAATGTGGTCTGTGATAGCGTCTACAGTAATTTAGATTCTTCCCGTTTTGACATGAATTCAGATAGTTTGGAAGACGAATCTATGCTCAAAAGGCAAGGAGGATTTCGTCGTCGCCAGAGGACGGTTTTCAGAAGCAGTGCTACCAGTGATCCTTGTTTACTGAATATCCCTATCAGACGTTCAAATAATAAACTGACTGGACTCACCCTGCCAAATGGAATTCCTAGTAAATTTAGTCCGCAAGACACGAATACTTCTTGGACTCACAACCAGACTATTATTTCGAATGACATAAAACCTCGTGATATGTCGTGCCATATTGTCGGTTTGCCCAGAACTAAAGCAGTGAAAACTTCTAGTCATCACGATATCTGTAATCAGTCATCTGGTGTACTTAGTCGCCTTACCGGCACTGTCAGCTGCTCGGATATACCAGGGAGGGAGCCAAGTTTTGGTCTTACTTTGTCTAAAGGCATCCCGAGCCCACCGAGTCCATCAAATGAAGACGACGATCAGTATAGTTCCTCGGTTGGCATAGCTGGGATTCGACCACTTTCGTCATCTCCCGTTCAGCCTCTAGGTCCCTGGAGACAGAATACGCCACGCGCCGAAGACAACGGATCGTCATCCTCGGATGACACGTGGAATTCTCACAACGTGCGTCTCACTGACGGACACGTGGTAAAAGGTGTCACAGTGGAAGAGGCTGACTGTCATATGAAGGAAGACGAACATGTCTCCTCTAGTGGTAAGGACGTTTTGAGATGTCTGTGGACTCTCAGCTTGCTGCTAACATGATTTGGTTTACTTTCTCCATTTTGTACACGTGTCTAAATCGAAGCTTTCGTACGAATTTGAGAAATTAGAAATGCAAATAACTTCGGTAATAGATTAATTTTGAGATAATGAGATATTTCTTATACAACCACAATATTAAGCCTCAGAATTACAAGTGTAAATAAAATTTTAATTCTTTGCTCTTAGAAGTGGAAAAAAAGTGTTGAACTGATGTTATCGCCTTATTATATACGTTTTCTTTCCATTGAATTTATTAATTTTAAGAAAGTGATCTATGCAGTTTAATGTTGTGACAGCTGGCCTTTTTAAGTTAAGAGATTATTATGTGACGTCAAAGATGAGTATATTTAATATCATGGACTACTTTCCTGAGTGTTTTGTCACTATTAGACCAAGCAGGATTGTTTGTACGATGTTGCCTTGTCCCAACAGCGCCCTTCTTAGGTCCGAGCCCTATGGCCCTGGTGGAAGGCCGGTCGCGGTCCAGACGTTGTCTACTGTTCGCGTCGCCATGTTGCATTTCGAGAACTAGAAGAACGGCCTCAGTAAGAACCAGTTCCTGGAGAATGAGCAAGGATTTCAGTCAGAACAGAGGTAAATATTACTAAGCCGCTCCTATGGAAACTGATTGTTCGTCACCTTATTAACAAGATTTGCCACTGGACCCAACACGAAGTCCAATGACGATATCTTGAACCTCGCCTCTTATTAATTGAATATGTATTTTAATATTTTCGAGTCCACGAAAGTCTCCCAAATAATATCAGTATGACCTCTGAAACGTTGGTAAACATCGACCAGACTACACGGCGCAACAACCCAGAAGACAGAAATCTTCATACTCATCGCCCTGATGACGGAGGCAGTATGACCTCTGAAACGTTGGTAAACATCGACCAGACTACACAGCGCAACAACCCAGAAGACAGAAATCTTCATACTC